AAATGCAGGCTTTTGAGAGTTGTCAGACAATAAATCTCCTTTGGAACAATGTGTATTTTTTCCAGCAGAGATGATCTTTCTGTCACCAAAGTCTAGTGAAATCCTGACTTCACGTTCTGGTGAATCAGGACTTGATTTTGTAAAATGTTTTATTATTTTATTTAGAGTATTTGAATATACTTTTGTAAAAAAAATTTACTTTGTAAAAAGACTGTTAAATCAGAGTTTAAAAACAATTAAATCTTGTAGTTTTCACTTGTTTTCTTTTCACTCCGGTTTGGAAGAAAGACTGTGTGCACCTAATTCACATATCTTACAAATTTTTCCCAAGTTTTGCCAACAGTCTCTCCCCATTTGTCAGCAAAGTATGGTGCGAGGGTGCTCTGAACTGCCTTCCTCATGTTATCAAAATGTATTCGAAATTCCATCAAGAATAATTTAAACATTTTTGAGAAAAACTGCATTCTTTGAAGCGCTCCCCGGCGTCTTGTCTTGCTTTGATATTTTTACTGAAAAGGGTAGATAATGAGGCAGTTGCAAGTATCAGTTGCGAAGTTATAATGCACTTGGAAAACTACTTGGCTGGCTGGCTGGCTGCCGTTGTCTGTTTTTATGTTTTTATTGTTCTGATTTTTGAAGACTTTAGTGAAAGAAAAAAAACCCTGCCAAGAATATTTGCATACATTTTATGGTTTGGTTGAATGAGTCTACCAAAACCAGATGAACGATAGAGCAGGGGGAAAGAGGGCATTTAGTCTAAGCTCCAGTTTTTGTGGTGCTCTGTGTCTCTTCCCTCTTCAGAACGCATACATTTAGGGATCCACACGAGAACTGTAAAGTAACACATAATAAATTAATTGAAGGAAAGTAACCTGACTGTCTAACAGTATGACAGCACCAAAAACCCATCCATTTGGTCAACTGGGCATCTCTTGCCTTAGGTCTACGGGATGTGTTAGCAATCTAAACAACCGCTGTTCTCGGTTGCAGATTTATCTTTTTTCTTAGTCATTCTTCTCATTTGTTTTATTTGTAGCCATACTTATTCAGGAAATCTGTTGTGCATAACTGGAAAAGGTTTTAGATTAAAGTAGAAAATGGTCACTTTAGTTTGGATGGAAACTTTAGGTACTGCGGCAGAATTTCAATTTGTAGGAAGTGTCAGTCAGGCACGTGAATGATATCAGCAAATGGTGTCCTTTATGCGTGAGGTATATGGGTATAAGCTACGGTCATTTCTTCCTTTGGAGTTTGGATTCTTCTAGTTTGTAGTTCAAACACTTTAAGATCTGGGCAGAAGTTTTTCCAGAAATAGAGCTTATTTGTAAAGAAAAATATTTTATAAAGTTATGAAGAAATCATCTATCTTGAGGTCTCGACTTTAATAAATTCATCTTGCAATAGGAATACAGTGTCTGGTTAGCACAGCTTCTGGCTGCAGAAAGGCATCGGAAATGTAAGTTGAGATGTGAAAACATGGATGTTGTACCAAATAATAATATTGTACTCCCGGTCTTGTCTTGATTTCCAAGTCTTTGGCCTATTTGTACAGCTACGTGGTGATTTCTTTTATTTCCCCTCCCCCCGCCCAGAAAAAAGGCTGAGGGGGTAAACGCCTGTAGAGAAAACCAATGTCATTCAGGATTTTTTGGGGGTTTTCTCCTTGACCTTTAAGAGCGGAGGGCAGACCTTTTAATGACCGGGATGAGCCGGTACAGCTTTCCAGGTCCCGTTAGCAGGACGCAGAGGGGCAGCAGCAGATGATGCCTGTAGCTTTCTCTGATGCGGAGGTGTTCGGAGGAGCAGGGTCGTCCCCTGCACCGCCCTGGTGAATCCTGCCCCGGCTGGGGGAGGCGAGGGCAGCGCAGGGGCTCCGTAGGGGCCCACGTACCCAGAGGCTGCTTCAGCCTGGGCTGGCTGGCTCCGGGCGAGGACCAACTGCGATGCTTCAGCGCCGGCCGGGGAGAGCGTGGTCTTCGGCAGCGGTGGAGAAAATGAGGTTTTGTAGGAAACGGAAGATTTGCGGAGGAGCGCTGCCGCTTTGCTGGGGCTCTGGAGGAGGCAGGCCGTAAGTTGTACTGTGGCGGCGAGGGAGGGGAGCCGTGGGTTGGCCACCGAGCTGGTCCAGGCATGGTGCAGGGTGTCAGCACCTGGCTGCCCAGGTTTCAGGATATGTTTTGCCTGCTTTTCATTCTGTTCTCTTAAAAGTCATAGCTGGTGCAGAATTGAAGTTGCCTTTTATTTGGTTATCATGGCAACTCCCATCAGTCTGCATCTAATTGTGGATTAGCATTTTCTGTGTAGTCTGTCTGTCTCTTTTTGTGCACGGCAGTGTGATTGAGAAATAGGTGCAGTCAGTAATTCCAAGGTACAATTTTACAGTGAAAGGAAAAATGCGGTAGTGTTTTAAGTGTGTCGGGTCTCAGTTTGCATCCTGGGAAGAACGGGTATGTGGACAGGAACAGTGTACGACGGTATGTGGATGATACTTTTGTCTGTCTTGGAACTCCTTTGGCGATGGCTCTGTTCAGTGTTTTATAAGCATGTAAAACTACACTTGGATTTTGGAAAACGTCATTCTGAATAGCTTTGTAAAAGAAACAATACACCTGTTTTCTGTGGCTTTGTGTTTGACTCGGCTTCATCTAGCCATCCTTAGCATTTCTGACAACAAACAGAAACCCCAAGCGTTGGGGTTTGGTTTTGCTTAGCCAAGCAACTTTTGTTATACCTGGCAGAGCGTGAAATCGTGCAGCAAGGTTCTTGATGTTAACTCTCTGTAACTGACTTTGGAGACCAAGCCTACAACCACTGTGCAGCTAGCGTATTTTGAGTTTCTTTAGAACATGTCAGCACAGCAGGCAGCTGCTGCCATTTAGCTTTGGCCAGTGACAATTTCAATAGTTAACAGAACATTTTATACAAAAGGAAAAAACAGAGAGTGCAGAGTTAAGAAAGAAGTTGTATCAGTCTTATATGTTACTTGGATGCTATCTCTGGTTTGGGATTAAAAGTATCCTCAACTACCAATATAGAGTGCAGAACTGTCAGGATATATTATGAGAAAGAGAGGAGATGTCTGTCGCCAGTGAGAGCCGCTGGCTTTTATTATTACAATTGAATAGCATTTCTGCATCGTACACGATACTATTCATAATTGCTCGTGGTTCGGGACTGTAGTGAAGGAGTTGCTCCAAGGAACGTAGAGTCATCATACACCACGGTGTAACTGATGATAAAGACACACTGACCTAAAGGAAAAAAATCCTTATTATACACTGATGTCTTACTTCTGAAATCTGCTTTAAGAAAAAGATTTCAGCTTATTTATTGGTGTGTTCAGTCCAGTTTTATGGCTCCTTTTGGCGACTATCGCAGCTCAGTTGCTTCTGTATGTGATCTGTGACCTTGATGCAGGCCAATGGAATGAATTACTGCTCTCCGATGTTTTTGCCTGGTTTAATAAAACAACTTCTGCATTTGGATAATGATCTCCATAATGGTAAATCTTTTAATGAACTTCCTTACTGTAAAATATCATGAACATAACATTTTCCCTGGAAGACTGACGTGGTGCTTGTCGTGTCCTTACGCTCTTTCAGCATTTATCCATATGGATGCCATGTTCTAGCTGTGTCTATCTGGTGTGGGAAGGCTTGGATGTTTTTTACCCGGCAGTATTTGCTGGAGCTTCCCCTAACAGAAGGGTAGAACAGCCCAGCCCAGCAGCTCTTCTCACCACCCCCGTCCTTTCCATCAGCAGCTCGGCTTAGCAGATTCTTTTTTTTATTGAAAGCAGAGAGCTCGTGAAACCAGTTTAGCAAAATTAACCGAGAACTCTTGAGATGCCAGAGTTCCAGTTTATATATTCTTCCTAAACAGCATTTTTTTTTTTCTCAAGCATTCTCTAAGAGTGGTCTGGCTAGAGATGGTACTTCAATGGCTACCCCATCTTTTTATTCTAGACAATGTTGTTATTCACTAAAGAGTACAATTCTTTTCTTCGTACATCCTCTGGCCAGTCAGCGACTCCTGTAGAGCAAAACAGGAGGGAAGGAGTTGTTCTAATGGTGTTCAATCGAACACTCCTTTCACTGTAGGAGGAGAGAGGAACCGCTGGAGACCCGGCCCAGACACGTACAACCAAATTTGGTTGTCACCGCATGTCTGCACAAGCTATACGAGCTGGCCTTTCCTGCTTGGTGTCACGTTAGTTGTCATGTCGTGGCAGTCGGCTCTGCTTTTTTGGTGTCAGTAGCATCGTCGCCTTCTGGTGGGTTCTTTGCCGCTGTATACAGAGCAGACCCTGTGTGTTGACGTTAATGGGTGCGCGGTGGTGTCGTTGAAAACAGTACTGCTCACTGTTCACCGCCCGCCTGGCCGCTCAGGCTGCCTCCGCAGCTTCTGCGGATACGGACCTGCACGACACGTAGGGTGTTCTTCAAAGGACTTTTCCAGTCTGTCTGAAGGCCGACAAAAGCAGAATCTCACACGCATGTGCACACACACGTGTATGCATGGATGTGTATTTATGTACATGTAAGCATACGCACTTCTCTGTCTTCCCACTTGTGTTGTGGTGGAAATGTGCTGCAGTGTTCAAAATCAAAGTATTACTGTTGTGTGTGTTAGGTACGTAACGATAGCAGCAGCATCGTTATCTGATAGCTTTTGGGGGCAGAATTCTGCAATCCTGGTTATTGATGGACAGTGCTTTCAGGTGTTGCTGTTTATACGGTTCAAGAAATCTGCATCTTTGCCTCAAGATACATAGTTATGACATCACTTCAATGTGAAGGTTGTGCTGCCTAATACGGTATTCTTATCCTGTCAATTTTAAAATACAGTCGCAAAGCGCAGAAGCCTTCTTTTGTACCAGCCTGTGTTAACAGTCTGTAGTAACAGTCTGTCACTATTGAACTGGGTCAGTAGCTTTGAAATTCTGCGAGTCAGGGGCATATACATGCAATATTTTATTTGTCTGTTTGTTTTACGCTCAGCTGAGCTAGACGCTGAACATGCACAGAAGGTTTTGGATATGGAGCACAGCCAGCAGATGAAGCTAAAGGAACGCCAGAAGTTCTTTGAAGAAGCTTTCCAGCAGGACATGGAGCAGTACCTTTCTACAGGATACTTGCAGATAGCAGAGAGGCGAGGCAAGTTCTAAAATACTTTCGGTGTGATCCACAAACTCAACATCGTTGAGGGGTCGGAGTCAGCAGTGGTTTCAGTGCTTACAGATGAAACATTGCAGTGTCTAAATTCTTCCTTGGTGGAACAGAAACTTCAGATCAGCTCTTTAAACAAACTTTGGGTTCCAGGGGAACTGATGCCTTAGAAAATCAGTCGGACTCTCTGCTGGTTGTCTGAGGAAATGCAAAGCACTGAAGTACACCTGGAACAGCACTTTTCTCTGCAGCTGAAGAGTGCATCCGTGTCTACAAAGATCTGGATGGAGGCGGCTGCTTTTAAAAGTGCAGGCGAACGCTCAGTGTTGCATTTCAGAACAGTTCCCAGGTGGTGGCTGTTTCCTTTGTCTATGTGACATACAGAGAATGTGACGAGGACATGGGAGATCAGATTAAGCTCTCTCCCTAATTATGAGATGACTCAAGTCTGGCATCTCCTGACTCGCTAAAGCACAAGAATGCCATGGCCTACAGACACTTCTGTGGGGGAGGTATCCATCTGTTGGGCCAAAACGCAGGGGTTGTAGGGCCAGAGAGCGAGCAAGCGGGAGATTATGTCACTCATGTGGCAGGAAAAAAAAGGTAGAGATTCTGTCCCTGCTCCGAGACCAGTTCTGCTGCCGTTGGCAATGTCGGAGCCGGGAATACAATCCAAGATTACCATTTCTCTGCATGCAAGGTGCTCTGGATTGGTTGCTAGGACAGTCTTTTCAGAAGTGGGAGATGCAAGTCTAAATTCCTTTGGTCTAGGAAGGAATAGAGTTTGGGTCTCCTGCTTTCTGTCTACGTATGGTCCGCTTAGGCCAAAAGTGGGCATGGACACTGGCTGGTACTGGACACGCGGCTCTGCGAGAGGGTTAGGGTCTCTGCCTTTCTGACCTTCAGCTTGGCAGTACAATGCAGAACCCGTGTCTATCAAAGAAACTGTTTTAGTGAAAGATTTGATCCTGCAGTGCATGTAGAACTACAGAGCTGTAGTATATTTGGGAAAAAGCCCCAATCAAATTATAGGAGTTCATCTCAGTTTGCGTATGAAGGCTTTTAATAGTGTAATTGTTAAATTTAGATAAACCATTAAACGCTTTGTTGTAATATTTGATGTTAGACATGCAGCCACTGGACTTAAATCTGGGTACCCCTGAACTTGCTTGTTCTTGTTCTGTGTTTGCATGTTTTACTGTTCAAGGAAGAAGACGCTCATCCAAGTATTTAATTCCCTTGCAAATTGTCAGTATTATATTGACAGTAATAATGAATTTGCTTGACTGAGTAATAACGTCAAGTCCCCACGCTGAGAGAAGATCCTGGGCATCAGCCTAGGTTTTACGTACTGCGGTCACTTAATAGACTAACCGAATGAGGAAGAAGGATGACTGCTCTCTGTTCACATTAATCCTTATTTCTGAATTACCGTGTGCCTCGTACACTGACATTTAGTGATTGTGTGCTCAAATGCGTGCGGTTTTCTCTAAAAAGACTTTTAGTTTTGAGAGAATTGGAGCGTTGCAAAATGGAAAGTTTTGATCTTTGCCCCTCAGCCCCATCCGAGCATATTTCTGACAATGCTATTGCTATAAATATTGTTGCTAAAAATGTTTTGTTTTGCAAAAACAGTAAGGGACACTAGTTTCACAACAAAGATTGCGCAGAGTGCTCATAGATTTGGGGTGAGAGTGCTGCTGAGCAGCTCCTGCGGGCGTGCTCCTTCCATACTGAGTTTAATTACTACTAATGTAGACAATTACAGCAGCTATTGAAGCCTGTCTAGGTAAGAACATGGTGTGGCTGACTGTCAGGTTGCTCATTGCCCTGTTTTTCCTGCAGAACCGATTGGAAGTATGTCTTCCATGGAGGTGAACGTGGACATGCTGGAGCAGATGGACCTGATGGACATGTCTGACCAAGAAGCGCTCGATGTCTTCTTAAACTCAGGAGGCGAAGACAATAACGTGCTTTCTCCTATGCTGGGTATGATACTAGTAATGACAGCGTGCTTAGAGACAAAGTGATAAATCACTGGAATTCCTCTAATTTGTAACGGGTGATGTTAGCTCATAAAACATTACACTTCATGTACATTGAAGATTTTTCATTAGTGGTTTTCCAAACCTATTTTAGTTGCAGTACAAGAGAGCTTGCCACAAAACTGCTTGGTGTTTTTGGACTGTCTCTTTCTTCATCTAGTTACTGCAGCTTCATCTTCCATTTGTCAGGCTACGGATAGGTGATGTGTTACAGACTGCCGTCAAGGTGCATTTTTCTCAATCTGAACTTAATATAAGAGACAAACATCAACAGAAAGTTTGCAGCAATTAGGCTTTTATTTTTAAGACTGCTTTCTTAGAACTTGTCCAGAATTTTGGCATTTTGAAGTAAATTTGGAGCAGTCGTATAGCGCGAGCCCTTCAGTGAGAGATACTCAGAGACACGGTTCGACCCCGCAGTTCATATATACAAAACACGACAATGTTCTGGAAGCTTCTGAAGAGTGATTCTGATATTGCAGCTCTTTCACGTAGCCTTCTTACTGCTAGTAATGTTAGTTAAATTGGATTAAATTAATCTTAATCCAAAATTTTGTTTACGTGTTCTGATGAACAGAACCAGATTTATGTTTTGGCAAGTTGCAACATGATGAGGGATCTGCTTACAGCAGGGAATTGGTAATACTGGAAACTTTATCCCCCAGGGAAGTGTGTTTCCTTAATTAAAACCTTTAGTACTAAAATGCCCTTTCCCAAAAGAGCCAAAATGAGTTCTCTCGGGGGAGATGATGAAGCTCCTTTAAATGTACTTTGGATTTCTTTTGAAAATACAGGTTGAAATATTTTTATAGAAGTACTCACAGTGGAGAAACAGTATACTTTAAATCCTATCCTATATTTTGGGATGTGTAAAGAAAAATGTTAATAATATTGCGGGGTAATTTTATTCTTCCCTGATTATTACCTGCTGTGAACATGCAAAGCTTAGGGTAAGTAGTCAAGGCACACTTGACTACTACAGGTTTTTGTGTTTTATTGCAAAAAATAAAATCAGATGGCTGGTTTCGGAAAGGCATCCACTGCATGCAATATGAAAACTGATCATTGTTTGAGCGGGCAAGTAATTAATGACAGAATCTAGGACTTTGCCAGATGTTGGACCAAGAAGCTTCATCTCTTAACAAAAAACAGCGTCACTGGAGGAAGTGTAGAAGCTACCAGGTCTGGTTGTTTTTTCCTAAATAGACGTAAAACTTACTAGCCTTTGAAAAGACTGCATAATTTATTTTGTGCTGTAATGTTAAGTATTACAGTGTGTACATATAGATAGTGTGTATATATCTTTATTATACATATGGACACACCCCGTAATATAATGTACCAGTGCTGTAATGTTCCAGCACTGTTGGACAGGCAGGCAGCAAGGCTTACTCCTCTAGAGTTACTTACTCCTACTACAGCCTAACACTCTCGTGAACCTCGCTGTTGTGGTTCCAGAGGATTCATTTCCCTCGGCATTAGAAGGGATTCTTGTGCTTGCTTTAAGGACGATGTGCCGTAGGCTCCCTTCTCCGAACAGTGAGAGGGCTTCAAGCTGTAACTGACTGACAACTCCTCCTTTTGCTGTCAGAGGAGAACTGGGTTGGTCAGGGCAAGCTTTGTTTCACAGTTTTACTGACTGCCACTGAATGCAGGTAAGTTATTTCAGTAACTGGTAAAAATGAAAACCAGCTCAAAGCATAAAAACGTTTTCAAATTTGTCTTGCTATAAACATTGCCAGCTTATTGGTTTTGCAACATTTCGTGACAGTTCAGTTGAACCAAAAAATTTACTCACCTCGGCTGCTCCAGAAAACTCCTCCGTGTGTGTTGCGTAAATTGATCAAATGCACGCTGGTGTGCACAGCATAGACAGGTGTCTTTAGAAACATCTTCCTAGTATCACTTGTGTGCAGTGTGTATATATATAATATTTTTTTTTTTTTTTAA